TGTCTTTGATTGTTTGATCAGTCTTACATTCCTATGTCTAATGGACTGAGCAACTTCGTTGAAGATAACATGTAATATAGCAACCATTGTGAATTTCTGTTATTTTGTCTTGAGGTCATGTATCATTTTTGTTGTTTTTGTGTTGTTTTGATTTTGTCTTCATTATTTTGTCAGTTTTTAATTTTTAAAATAAAAAAAATAAAAAAAGAAATTGGAGAAACCTAAGACAATGTGCATTAATATCACTACAACAAAATACATTATCTTACTGTTTTCAGAAAATTATCAAATATTTTTGTAAAATATATATTATCTTATTAAAGTTTAAGTTTATGTTTCTAATTTACTACTTAAATCCCATTTTAACATCTAGATTTTCATTAAAAACATCTATACTTACAGGAGTTTGGTGTTTATTTGTTTGTTTGTTTGTTCTGTCTTTTTGAGACAGGATTTCACTAATGCAATTCAGGCTGGCCTTGATCTCACTTTGTAGCTAGGCTGGCCTCAAACTCACAGTGATCCTCCTGCTTCCTCCCGAGTGCTCGGATTGCAGGCGTGCACCACCACATCTGGCACTTATAGGAGTTTTGACTGCTTTTAACCCCAAATATTACACTTTTAATATGTCCACATTTCATTCAAAAGTAGTTTATGGTTCCTTTTGAAATAAAATAACACCAATATTATTTTTCCCTCTCAAAGTCTTCATATTAGTATTCTATTTCAGGTGGTTTTCCTTTAGTTCCCTGATATAAAGATCTTCACCAAAGATTTAAAGAGTATATTTTTAGACAAGCAGAAGTTGGACACAATCACTCTAACTACATTGAAACCAATTGAAACTACATTATATCTTATCTTCTGGAGAATTAACTTTTCAGTCTGAAACAATGACTGCATTAAAACTTAAAACTTCATTAAAATCCCACCATGTTTTTTGTTTGTTTGTTTTTTGTTTTTTTTCTGGTACCGGGAATCAAACTCACGACCTTGCACTTACCAGGCAGGTGTTGTGCTGCTGAGCTAAATCCCCAGCCCCTCCCGCCATGTTTTTTGACAGCCTGATGATAGCATTCTGTCTATAACTACCTATACTATTACTTTAACATTTAACATCAACTCATTTTATATCAGTTTGCCTTATTGCACAGCTGACTTCAAAAATGTACTCCTTTGGAAGATAACAATTAAGGCAACCTTTGATAAAATCAGTAAAGTTCTCAATTTTACAATACCTGATTGATAAAAATTACCACAAGTGCATATAAAGCCTTCTCAGCAAGCTGCCTGTTTTGCCATTTTAATCTGAATTGAAAAATTATCCTTGTCTTTCACTGCTCTCATAGTTTGAATTCATAAATATCCTCATTTGTATATTAAGATTGGTCATCGTTATTCCTTTTCTATCCTTGAATCTCACAGAAGTGGAGACTGCTGCTGACATTAGGAGATCTGGCATTTATTCTCCACTTTCACCCAGTGTTCACAGACTAAGTCTTCAATACTGCAGAGTCTGAAGTATGGCTTCCTCTGTCATGCAGGAGCTGAATGTCCTCATGGAAGCCCCGCCAGCAGCTCTCTGAATGACCCACACAGAAATCTCATAAATAGTGAACCTAACAGAAAGGCTTGCTCACACCAGCAGATCAGAGAATAACACAGACAGAAAGAAACAAAGAGCACACATAATGTGGAGCTAATTTTGCTTTAAAATTTTACGTAAATAATCAGTTTATGTATTTAAGACTTGGAGAAGTGCTGATTTCATTTAAGAAAAATAACTGTGAGGTGTACGGTTTTAGTGCTTTGAGATATAGATAAAGCTGTGTAAACTGTGTTCGTTTTGTTTTCCATTGTTGTGTGCTTCATAGTAACGTCACACAATTTGTTTTCTGGAAAACTGTCCAGACCATTCTGGGTGTTCTGGGATCAGACGGGTAGAAGGGAGGAAATGCTGTCTCAAGCTGTCATTTATAACCTACAGTGTTTTCTAAAATTCTATGTTAAGGTCTGTTTATAACCAGATTGACATTTCTGGAGTAAAACTCTCAGAAATAATCACTAGATGTGGTTAAATATTTCATGTCATATACCACTCTCACAGGGTAGTCTCCACACAGCATCCAAACAGCACTGACTAAAATCATTCCCTTTTTGTTTTCCGCGGTCTTTGCTGTTCTTTTTCTATTTTTAAGTAGGTGAGAAAATGTTTTATAATATCTTCCCTAAGAGCTGTTATAAAAAATGTGAATAAAGGTCGACACTGTGCTGAAGAATAATTTGGGGACTAAACCCCTACATTGATCATTAGTTATTACTAGAAGAAGTATTAACAGTTTATGTATCTAAACATCTATTCCAATTACTAAGGAAAAGATTAACATGTCAGTGGAAATACACAAGGAGTAGAAAACAAATATTCACATACAGTTAAAATAGCCAACACTTATGAAAAAAATTAATTCATATCAAAATATGAAGGCAACAATTTTCATCTGGCAAATGGTTATAGATACTCAATAAATATTTATTTAATTCAGTAACATTTTTTGGCCATCAAACTGGGAGTTTCAAAAAATAATATAAATCTACAGAACACAATCTCCAAAGAAAACACAATAGCATAAGGTAACTATCAATTCAAACTATTCATAATGAATATCTAGATTCTATATTTTTATAGTTTATAGGTTTTTGATACAACTTCTCAACTATCCATACTGCATTTTTAAAAATTAAAATTGACAATAGTGTTAATGTACATGGCAAGCCAGTTTTAAGTAGCAATCTATAAAAGAGAAATTATTTTAAACTACATCACTTAGAAAACAGAGTTTAGAACACAAAAAATTTTACATTTGTTTGTAAATGATAGTAGTACTTTTAAATATTCCTATCCAGTGAGACTACTTCCCCAGGATTTAAGGTGTTACTGACAATACAGTGAATATTTAAATTTTAAAAATTTGTTAAGGTAAAAGGCATATTGTCATAGACACCCCTCAGAATACCCTTAGTTCAAACTGACCTATCCTGGGGGCTGGGGATTTAGCTCAGTGGCACAGCGCCTGCCTGGCAAGCGCAAGGTCATGAGTTTGATTCCCGGTACCGGAAAACAAACAAACAAAAAAAAAAAAACCAAACTGACCTATCCCATCATTCTTGCCACTCTCTGAAGCAGTTCTGGAAGTCCTCTTTCTTGAGTATCTTTAGTTGTACTGTTATGGCTACCTTAATGTCCTAAATTAGTGAAAACTGTTTACATTTCATGATCATTTTGACTTTGAGGAAGAACCAGAAGTTCTATACCCTGTGAATAATGTGGGTGAGGATACACTGTAATATTTCTACAGCCTGCCTTTATGTTAGATTCTATTCAGCAGTAGCATTCACCATATTTTTGACCACACATTGTAAAAAAAGCATTTTGCAAAAAAGACTTTCAGAACTCTTTTAGAAAGTAGCAGGAATGATGAGATAAATATGTGAAAAGCCACAGGAAATATTTTGCAAAGGGTTAGTGACAATGTGTCTCTTACTGAATTAATTTTGTTTTTTAAATTTAAACATTCACCAAATCTTTCAGTTGCTCCTTGTGTAGACAAAGGAAGCACAGAAGAGCAAAGGAACAGCTCTTCTGCATAAGGCCAGTGGACAGAAAATGGGGTTTCTCCTTTCCCATCAGACTTAATTTCAAGGAACAGCAGAAAACTTTGAAAGGGAAAGAAAAATGCTGATCCACTGTTGTCATATTACTGAGACTTCTTAATGTTTGAGTTTCTTTCCCAAAATTAATTATTTTCTTTCTCTATAGTTTATCTATGTTGCCCAGAAACCATTGACTTCCTGGAATTTTTATTAAGAATTCCACATTCTTGCCATGTTTTTCAGATACTGTGGCCTCTGCCAATAAATCCTAATAAATTTTCACTTCTTTTCTTTCAATAACATCCTAAAGAATATGATTCAGACTCAAATTAATCACCGATCATGTTAATGGCTCCTAGGAGTTTACTTCCGATACCCCTTATTATATTAAATCAAACTTGATAGTGTGCTAGATCATTGCTCAGCCGGGTTTTCATAAAAGCATTGGTATTTAATATGATTTATGCCTAGTTTTCTGTTAATATCTTTTGCTTATCATGTGCTTTATTTTAAAAACAGACATTCTTAGAAAATGACACTCCTTTAAAATCTGTAATACTTCTAAAATATTTTATAGGAAGCATTTTACAGTAAAACGTTCATTTTATATTACATCACATAATAGCTAATGAACAATTTAATGTACAAAGTATTAATATTTTGCTTTTAGTTTTAAAAGTGTATATATGTATGTTTTGCTTACTTAAAAATAAGTTATATGACAAGATTATTAGGAAGTGTAATGTACTGTGTGTTTTTAAGCTTTGCAGCAAAGGGGCAGCCCTAGGAAAACCCTTTGACGTGCCTGCTGACCACATAGCAGCTGTAGCAAGTTTCATTGAGGCAAAGCTTGTCACCTGCTATCTACGGATGAGGAAACCTGACCTTGCCCTGAATCATGCACACAGGTAAAATGAAATACTACAAATCGAGTCAGTAACAGTACTAAAAAGTACTACCCAGGTCCAAGGAGCCTACTCTCTGAGCTTGTCTGATCACATTCCCTTTCATTTTGTTTTAAAGATGAAACAACAACAACAAAAAAATACATACTGCTTGATTTATGTAAAACTAAGCAATCATGGAGATAAACAGGGATCTTAAAACCTAAAGGAAGAAATGGGCACATAAGCAATAATTAGGAATAGTATTCATATTGTGGGGCAAAATAAAAAGGCAGGCAACTGTAGCAGAAAAGTGCTGCAGGAAGAGAGGAGGGGGAGACAAAGGTAAAGAAGGGACGTGGTGTGTAAGGCGAAGAATGGTTTCCAAAACTGCCAGAGATGCCGAATGGTAGAAGGGAACTCTGACTGTGCCGCTTGAGGCGGGGCTCGGAAGTTGTGGCTTACCTGGTGACAGCACAGTTGATTCAAAGGACAGGATGATTCAAAGCATAACATCCTTTGGGCAGCTTTCCAAAGGCATGAAATATTTTATCTATATTTTTAAACATTTCTTTTTTCATATTTATAACCTTCCTCAGAATTCTGTATCATTACGTTACCATGTGGATGATTCCTAGAATTCCCAGGGTTACCCGGCCTCTCTTTTCTTCCATTATAATGTACCTGCCTTGTGTCCCTTTTTTGAAAGGTCTTGTTCTCATCAGTAGCAATCAGTTATAATCTACAGCAAAGGTAAAGTGATTATGCTACACTTTTCCAATAATGCTTCCCTTGAAACTATACTTTTATCCTTCCCAACCTGACTTAGAGCAATTTACCTAGAACTTCTGTGTTGTCCCTTTTTTGGTCTCATATGCTTATATTTCCTTTGGATATAAGTAGAAAAACTAATATTGATATGAGACCATAATACCTGTTTTATTAATAGACTCTGGGAAACATAAAAGTTATAGTAAGAGCCATTAGTGAGTGATTTGCCAACATAGTAAAAGCCATTTAGAAACCCACGTGGAGAGTGTGGGCCGGACTCATACCACCGCGATTCCCAGCCGAAAAGCGCCCAAAGAGCCAGGTAGGCCGCACCCAATCCCGGAGGCCAGGACGCGAGAACAAAGACCCCGGTGACACTGCAGACTGAGTTTCTAGGCGCTGGGAGGCCCT